TGTTAGTTAGCATTAAAACAATATTGGTCAAATTGGTTATGTAAAAATAATTGACAAATGGGTGCCCCACGAATTAAGTTATCGCCAGCGCAAAATACGCGTCGTGTCGAGCCTTGCACTGGTCAACAGGTACACAAACGATATTGCACATAGGCATATTGAATCGCATTGTTACCTGCAACGATAAATAGATTCTGTTCAACAATTGCAAGCGTTCAACTAGTTGGTTAGATCTTGGTTCAGCACATAAACAATACCCCAAACGAAAACTGACCTAGAAAAGTTATGGTCACTGTTTGGTAGTCTGGCGCTGGTATTATTCATCTCAGCTTCTTACCAAACTGGATGACCATTACTGCAGATGTGTACTGTGAAGAACTGAACACAATGATTGAGAAACTCGCACATCTCCAACCAGTCTTGGTCAATCTTTCGACTTCGCTGCTCTTGCACGAAAACGCGCGACCTCATACTGCACAGCAAGCGGTCTTCAACTTACAAGAGCTGGGGTTGGAAGTTCTCCGTCATTCATCGTAAACACCAGACCTAGCCTATACAGAATTTTACTTTTTCCAGAATTTGGATAACTTCTTAGCGGGGAAAAAGTTCAATAACCGAGAGGCAGTTCAAAATGCACTTTAAGAATTTGTTGCCTCCCGTCCAGCAGACTTTTTCAAAACGGGCATTAATACTAATACGTTGTCAATAATGCATTGGTTGAATGGGTAATAACTTTGATTAATAAAAACAAAAAATATAGAAAAAAGAGGAGCGTTAAATTATTTTATTAAAAATGGCCATTTCATCGGTCAAAATATTAGGCCTAATATTTTGAGTTGCATTCTAGATTACATTAGCGGCGCAGAAAGTAACCAATATTTAGAACAGCCCTCAATTATGCGCATTGGTCGGTGGTCGCTGGCAATGAGACGGCTGTAAGCTGCCCGGCTGACCACACCCTTTCACATAATAGAGTATGACCTCGAACAATTACTCGTGTTCGATCGAGCGGCTGTCAATCACACAACAATCAAAGACCTAAATATGTATGCTTATAAACTTTTTACACTCAGATGAAAACAATATTTCCCCAAACAAATCATTATACAAAAGGATAAACATTTCACCAATAATAAAATAATAAGGTTTAAACGTGAAAACATGTTTTTGAAAGCGAAAACTTTAACAATACATGCCTTCAAATGACAATAAAAAAATATGAATGTGCCAAGTTTCAAATACAAAAACGAACCAGTTTATTAATTTAACAGCTTGTCTATATCGATCAATATAAAAACCAAATGAACCATCTCGCTAATAAATCTTTAATCTCGTGGCGACAGAACTTAGCGTTCGATCTAGAACTATTAATATTCTAATAGTTATCACAAACTACGATCAAAATTTTGTCATTAAATCAATCTGCGTTTCACTAAAGAATTATTTCGCAAACGAGCAATTTCATAACAACAATGTCATTTACTTTAGTCAAATGTGGTGTGTAATGTTGGAAGGTTTATAGATAAGACGACAAGAAATTATGTCCTTTCTAAATGTCCAATCTCAGCGCTACAATCCGGTTCCCATTAGAAAAGCCGCTTAAGTAGCTCACGAGTAAACAATAAAATTTATAGCTGCGCTAGGAGTCCAACAGCCTTTCACTGTAAAAGCAAGATACCTTAGGACAAAGGTCTGTTGCCATTACATGTTATAATAACTTAAGAAAAAGGTACGGATTTCCTTGAAAAATTATTAATTAACACCCTTATGGGAAAGTAATCTTCATATTCCCTCACGTAATACAGAATCCAGTATCATTGTATTTTGGAGTAAATAAATTGCAAGAACTTTATGGGTGTCAGTTGTGCGATTTGGTGTTCCGGCAGGTCTCAAGGTGAGAGTGGGAAGTAGGAGAAACACGTTTCTCTAACGCCTCACTTAATAATTATAATCGGAACTCAAGTCCAAACACAATATTAGATAGAGTATAGTAATTTTCATTGTATTAAAAAAACACATGGTGTCACGCTCTTTAAATAGTCAAAGACGTGGGAGTGTCATCGCTATTAAATTCTGATTTCACATAAAGCATAAATAATGGTCCATTATTTGCAATAAAATTATATGGTATAATATGAAATTATTCGAACAAATTAAACTTCTCGTTAACCTTCGTCGGGTTAGTGATTATGAAACTTACAGCGGGCGATAAAATGCAAACGTAATCACGTGGCATTTCTGAATGAACCATTGTGGTAAGTGGTAATATAGCGTCACGGAAATAAAACGTCAAGATCGCAACGAGCACGAACGACGTCGAACCAAGAATGTCGGACTTTAGGACGATGTCGACACACTTATTCAGAACATGACATTGTTTACACAAATCGTAAATATGTCTCGCAGTTAGTGTTACGACAAAAACTTTGCAGAAACGCGCGTGAGTACGTTCGGAAAGATCTTTGGCATAGATCACACACATGCTAATTTAAAATCGTGACTTAAAAAGCCATGAAATAAAGAATTAGCTCGACAATAAATTTCATGTATTTTATAATGCATAACAAGAGTCTACCTTGTAACGCTGAACTTTTAATGTCATAATATTATTATGCAAATCAGCGGATGGCATAAATTTCATTTCGTAAAAAAACATTTGCATTTCACTAATTTAGCCGACGTTCAAACGCATAATTTTGTAAGCCAGAATCATTTTTAGGCATAAATTTAATATCCACAATAATTAAAAAGCAGAATTTAACTTTTCCTTGTTTATTTAGCTATGGTGACTGGCGGTTCGCCGGCCGGTGCCGTGACACGCTCGCTTCGCTCGCTCGCTAAGATTAGGTCATAGCATTAACGTAACCTAAACCACCGTCCACAAACACCGATTATGCGATTAGCAAAATTAAGCAGAAAAAAAATTGCCCAATTCTGCTATCTTAAAACTACGCTATTGTGAATTCGGAAATACAAACATTCGGCCAATTAATAATTATACTAAATAAAACATATGCCTAACAAATATTTGTGTGTTATGCCAAATAAATTTCGGAGCAACAAGACTCTGCCAGATAAAGGGAACCCGCTTAAGAAATGTGCTTTATTAGGCAATTCAACTCCTTCCTTACTGTTTCATGATTTAAAGAATAATCAATAACGGCGTTATGAGCGGGTGCGCTGGGATGACCGCCCAGGACGCCGGATATAAGGGGCGCCCTTCTCTCTTAAAGTCTTAAAGTATATCAATTAAACTTTGACTGTTTTTTTTTTCAGTATACTACAATTTTACTAAGTATATAGTAATTAACATTGGGGTAGACGAGTTCCGGAGTGGAGACCGCGTCTAGGCAAACGTAATGTAGGACGTCCTCAGGCACGGTGGAGTAACGATTTGCGCAGGGCAGAAATTGGCTGGCAGGAGCTGGATGCGAGTAGCCCAAGATCAATCTCAGTGGCGTGCAATTAGAGAGGCCTATGTCCAGCAGTGGACTAAGATAGGCAGTTAATGATGATGATGTTTCAGTAATTTTATATTTAATACCTAACTGATTCATGAGTTGCGAGGGTACAAAAAGATAACTTACCTATAAATCGCGATAATTGAAAAGAATTGATGTTTTATTAATCTTAAACGATTTTCCCGACCTCTCCGACTATGGAGAGAAACTCTGTATCGATTGTTTTTTTTAATATTTTTTAAGCATTTAACTGCTAGATGTTTAAATGGATGGTGCTGGTTCGAGCCCCGTCCGCTAACTGGTCCGCGTGGAACTTTTTCTAGTAAAATTTGCTTTAGATTTCAACATCTACTTTTTACATTTTATTTAAAAAGAGTTGGATTCCAATTTTTGTAGATACAGCGTGAGGGTGCTTATTAACGACCAGTTTTACTAACCCGTTAAACCGTACCTAGATCCGGGTAGAAATCGTATCGTTAACAAGCACCTTTCCTTAAAGACTAAGCTCATTCATATTCATTACATTACATGCACTTAATCCCATTATGTTAAAAAAACAGATGCTCGTCACTCTTCATTCTTACTACCGAATGTAGTCTTCTTCTTCGCCGTCGTTTCCTCACGACTGACTGGGGTTTGTAACAGCATGAGGCTATTCCTTATGTTGGAGCTCCATGTTCTCCATGGTGTTCAGTTTTCGGCCATCCAGATAGACGTTTCACGTCTTCACGTCTGTTTGCCAGGTCTCCTTTACAGCATCGGTCCATCGCGTCGGTGATCGTCCACGCCTCTTCTTTCCTTCCACATGCACTACAATCTATCTACGGGATTCATTCTCCGCCATCACCACATTTAATTTTTATTTATTCATTATCTCTAAAGCATGCATAATTAACGAGAAAACAAGAATCTTTAGTTACCATTGAACCGAGGTAAATAAACTTTTGTAGGGTTTTCAGTTCAGATAACTCCCATGTTCTTTGTAAGAATTCCACGCTGTTGATAAACATCACCTTCGGTTTTGGACGGTTTATTTTCAGACCATATACCGCACTTACACACTAAAAAACTTCTACACTTTGTAAAAAATTGACAAGTTCATTATCGTTAGCTACAATAATGCCGTTGTCATCTGCAAATGGAAATTATTGGTGTCATATAAGTTACCAGCCAAATCCAATTCTCTGCACTTTTCAATCATCTGTCTCATGTTTAAGATCTGCTGTTATTTTGAAGTATAATCAAAATAAGTATAATCAGCAATCCACAGACTAACCTTAATGATTGCTAATCTAGCTCTTTAAACTCTATTCAGTTTATCTGCTAAGTCATCATACTAATGTTAGTATGAATGCCAATAAGAAATGAGGCAAGTTAAACTTACTAGTCGGTCGGTATTCAGTAGCCAGGTCAAATATGAGTATTTTGGGCAGACAAACTCGTCGAAAGTCGTCAATTCTGGTGATTATGCTGCGTCCAGCACTCAAAGCCTGTTGCAGCGGTCGGCTCGGACAAGGTACACCGGTAATTTGAACTTACCAACCGATCGGTAGCCATATCGAAGATGAGTATTTTTGGCGGACAGACGCGTCGGAAGTCGTCGATGCTGGTGATTACGCCCGCGTCTAGCACCCACAGCCTGTTGCAGCGGTCGGCTCGGATACGGTACACCGATATCAGCCCAGTACAGTTGATGTCGCCGCGACCGGCACTGTGCCATGACCAATCCGGATACGCCTGTAGAACAAACGAAAAATTTTATGCTGACAGACCAGTCACGCCAAATTTTGTAGTCACACTAATATTAAAATAGGTTTGATTTTCCTGATTTTCATACTAGTATACGTGCTTTACATTCAGCACTAGAAAAAAAATACGAATCTTCTCAAAACTTGTAGACATTACTTCCTTTGCTAAAATGCATTGTGTTTATACAGCGACACACAACTACATCATTATGATCTCAGGCATGCAATCAACGCACACTGAACTTCCCCAGAGATATATCTGATAGTGGCTTTCCGTGGTACAGCCCGACAGTCGATCGTAATGTAAGTTCAGTAATAGAGTGTAATCGTAAAACAACTACAGATTCTTTCTTAATTTCTAAAATAAATGAGAAATATTTAAGCTCAAAATACATATTATAATAACTAGGTTGTTTTAAGAACTAAACAGGGTTCCTAATTTACTCAGTTGTTCCTAATTGAACTTAGTTATACTGTAATAAGACTTTGGCAACATTTAAGCACTAAGAAAATCCTATATTATTTATGTTAGTAATACTTTACCTTGTCAATCCAACTATGAATTTATAATTAAATCGGTCGTTTAGTGTAGAATGGCAAGTTTGAACTATCAGTAACAAATATATAATTAATCATTCATAAATTGCTGATTACAGCATGGAAAATAATTTTACCTGTCACTTGAAATAATTTTCTTTAACTACTTCGGTTAAATAGACTACGTGAAATACCATTGTAGATTATAGGTCTAGGATTAAAAAGAATAATTATATTGCTTACTTCAGCCTTACTTAAACAGAAGTTATGAATTAATTTCTAATTTCAATAAACCACTATTGTTAACTAAGTGCAGAGCCTATTTACTTCAGTATACAAAAAAAAATATTAATCGCAGTGTTTGCTAGTAGCGTTTTTGTACAGTTGGTAACATAACCAAGGTACCTACCGTAAAATCTCAATGTTTCTTTAATGACTGCGAATCTGTTACCAAATTAGTTAAATATCAAATTCAGTTATTTCTGGATAACTAGATAGGAGATTGTTGAATGTGCTTGTCGTGTTACGCACCTTAATTAACGAACCGCCACTACTTGGTAGAAGGTTCACGGCAGAGGACACATTAGTTTTTTTTTTCGAAAGTTTTCTATAATAATCATAAGTCCAGATTTTGCCCAAACATTATCTTACATTATCATCTTATCATTACGTTATCTTATTAAATTATAAATAATATTAAAAACTGGCTTCACGATCACAATCTAATTATAACTTCAAAAAAACAAAAATACTACAATTCCGGCCTTACCAAAAAAGGGCTTTACAAATAGATTACTTGCATGAGATGTTTAAATTGGAATGTGAAGATAGTGCAACTCTATTAGGTATCAATATTGACACAAACATAAACTGGAAAAATTACCTGCAAATTTTGGCTAGCAAGTTATCCAGCTTTACATACGCATTGTACCACCTAAAAAGATCGAGTGACCTAAAGACAGCATTAGCCGCTTACTATGCCTATGCCCATGCTTGGATAAGTTATGGTATAATCCTCTGGGGAAACAGCACTGATGTTCAAAAAATATTTTTATTACAAAAAAGATGCGTACGAATTTTAAATAATGTGGACATAATGGAAAGCTGCAGACCACATTTTGCTGAACTAAAAATCCTATCTCTCACTTCATTCTATATTTTTGAAATTTGTAAGTTTGTAAAACAAGATCCTCCATTATTTCCTCAAAAACAACAGACCTGCTGTTCTAGTACATCTATAAATTTGAGATACAAAGATAATTTAGCCTTACCCTCATCAAGTCTTAAAATCCATAGCTCAGGTCCACAAATAAACGCAACTAAAATTTATAACAAATTACCTAAATATATAACCGTGGAAAAAAACGTTAAAAGGTTTGGACAAAGGACAATGGGCAAAATTGTATTGATGCTGCACCCACGTCCGCCACGGCTTAAACTACATTTGTTTGAAAGTTATTATAGTCATTATCATCTGTGCCAAAGCGCATCAATTTCTATCCCGGGGGTGTTTACTTATTTTAAGTTAAATAGGTACAAGTTCATAGGTAAACGTAACTATAGCGAACATAATATAATATTAATGATACAAGGACGATTATATAGGACGGATATATTATGTGACGTCCTCCGTGGTCGAGTAGTTTGTACGCCGGATTTCATGGTGTCGCCGACTCGAGCGGTCCCGGATTCAAATCCTGGTGGGGGCAGATGTTTGTGTAATGAGTACGAGCATTTGTACTCCAGTCACGGATATTTAATACGTTTCTATATCAATATATATACTGCATATGTATTCTATCCGTTACCCTAGCATCACATAACACCTTACAGTGCTTACTTTGGGGCAAGGCTAATCGGTGAGTGTAAAAAAAAGGAATTAATTATGAAACATTACGTATTAGTTAAATATCAATGAAGTAACAGGGAACGCACAAAAAGTAAGACATAGGACTGCATACGAGTAGACTAGTTGGAACGGCAACTGCAAATATCACATCCTTCAACCCCCATACCCTTATCCTGCTAAACGTTTTGAGGCGTCTCAGTAAGTGCAAGCATCAAGCAAGCAGGATGGTCTGTAGGCTTTCTTGTATAGTATTTTGTATCTAGTTGTATAGTAAGATATGACTCACATTATTATGCCCATGTGTGCAACCGGCCGCCATGACTTACACACGATGCTCCTCTTTAAGGACTATGTGCGGAAACCTTAACCCCTAATATAGAACATGCCCATGTGTCATAATAAAAAAGGCTAATTTTTCATAGATCTATCGATTCATACTAATTACATTGTTGGCGGAGCTGGGTGTGTTTTGCCCATTGTCCTTTTAAAACAATATTTATTGAATAAAACCTTCTATAGTATGCAAGAGTTGTTTGTTGAAAGGTAGCGTACTTGTAATCTAAAATTATAATGTGATTAATTATAATAATGTGTATTTTGTTTATTTTATGTATATTGATATTGTAGTGCCCTTACAGGGTTCATGTTTGGATCTGACTCTAAATCATAAGAACTTGTAATTACCACATGAAACAATAAATATATTGAATTGAATTACATGCCCAAGCATAGTTTTTAAAATTTTGTGCATTAGATTTTTTTTAAGACAGCAGCGTCCCCATGACTCATCCATTACTACAATAACTTCCACAGGAGGACGTATAAAGTTTTAGAATAAACTTACAGGAGCGTACCAAAACATTTTGTTTAGACGTTGTTCCTACAGCTATCATTCCTTAAAAAGTATATTTTCATTCGGGTCACATAAGCGAATATTCGATCGGAAATGGCATTTTACCTGATCATAGCATACAAACGAGACAAAACAAAGACAATGCACTTAATATATTTCACACATACCTCCCTGTTCAGAATGACGTTCATTTTAACCATGAGAATAAAGTGCGGTGTTACATTCTCATGCTTAGGCTATAAATACATACATACGGAAAGCAGAAGCGGCATTTGTCACACAATCACGCAAAAATGGAACTTCGATGGAATTTGGCACACAGATAACCATTAAATTTAAAGCCGTCAATGAATGTATTCACAGCGTTAAATAAATGACTATTGTAGCAAATTAGTGTTTTGTAGATTTTCAAGAATTTTTGTAGTCATGATTTTTTAATTGCAGCAAATTAAAGTGCGGCAAATACTCCAACAAAGCCTAGTTTTATGATTCGTATATTCTCTTTTATAAAATGCCTTTTAATGAAAAAACATAAAAAATATAATTACCAACGCCATAACATTGGTATTTTTAGATATTTTTTATTCAATAACTTCTATAAATATGTACCGATGTTAAAAGATAAAAAACCAAATCATAACTTCTCCTTTTTTTTAACGGTTAGCCATATTTTGAAGCAAAATTATTGTTTGGCAAAAAGTTTTGCTTGAAATTTAACACTTCATTGTAAAAATAATAGTATCGTAGTAAAATTTACTTTACCTTCGTAATTATTACAGCTTCCAAATGCTTTAACTTAGAGAGATGATTTAATTTATTAAAGTTAACAGTGATGTAATTGGTGAGTATTCAACAAAAATGGATCTTGTTTAATTTAAACATATATCTTACGAATTGTTTATTTATAAATGTCCAATTAAATGTGAAAGATAAACTTTGATCCCCGTTTCTGTAAAGTTACTTAAGTGGCGTTTAAGCGATTTTTCTTTCCACTGTCGATATGCAGTACGTTTGTGTTATCCGCGTACGTTCTGATCTTCGGATTACATCTACATTCATAGTAATTGGTGAGGCATGAACTCGTTCCGTCTAATATGAATAATGAATTGTGTTTAATTGTAAGTGAATTGTTAAGGCCCATCACAAAAACAGATTTTTGTGCGGTCATGTATATGGAATGAATATTTTATCTTCTATTTCAATGAACTTCTGTTTCTATATAAATAAAAAAAAATAGTGAAATGTACTTACGCATCAACGATATTACACAATATAATAATATCAATCTAAAGGAAATGTAGCAGTTATATGCTTAAAAAATTCAAAATATAAATGTGGAGGTCCACATCAAAACGTAACATTTTCATCTTAAATCATTTTACACAATTTGAGAAAAACGAATTAGTCATCAATGCTTAAGGCAATCTCTATACTATGGAAAAAAAACTTATTAATGCATAGATTAATTTGGGTCAGACTTCATGTGAATATTTATACTTTTATAGTCATGAGAATTATTTATAAAAAAAATGTCACGTTTTCGTGCAACTAATTTATTAATGTACGTTTTGGTGAGATCATTGTAAAAATTTTACTTTTTTATTGTGATCTACTAACAAATGTCACTTTTTGGTATGAATAAAAAAGACATTTTAATTAATGTATATTTTATTATAAAAAGAGAAATATACATATTATTAATATTAATTTTATTGTAATAACCTAAATTCAGAGGCAACAATCTTCTTTA